GCTAGCTATAGTGATTAAGAAAGATACATCACCAATTGCCCTCAGACTTTACTATCATCCAGATCCATGCATCAGCTGGGGAGCCCCGTCACAGCGAAGGGTCGGAGAGCCTTTCCCGGCAATTGGGAAGTCCCACGCAGTGTGTCCACTCGTATGTGAGGTCTCTGTGTTGTGAGAGGGTCTGGCTTTTATACAGTTTAACAAACAAGTCTATACAAAATGCACAGGAGATATCTGGTAGATTGACATGCCTCACTCAGGCATGTCCGGATCTGGCCAGGATCCAGGCACATCTGAGGAGTTTCTGGTTTTCTTTACATTTGGGATTTATAGTTACTTCCCGTTGTTTACTTATAGTTTTCAGGGATTGTTCCCAGGGTTGCATTTTCACACTGATAAGATGCTGGTTGCTTCATGCTGCTGATAAGATGCTGGTTGATGATCGGGGAATTCACTCAGAAGTCAACTTTGGTTTGAGGCCTATTGTTTGGGCCCCCTTTTTTTTTGTTTCAATTACCAGTTATTAAACCACCAATAATGCACAAAAAATGTTGTGGACCAAAAATGGTACTGATTACAAAATTTAATCTGGAATAGATTTCAAGTATTGACAAGCCCTTGCACTAAAAAATAAGTAATTTTGTCGTTTAGATTTCCTGAGGGGATTTAGCTGAAGATCTCATGCTCCTGTAAAATGGCTGGTGCTCCCTTTTTTGTATTTGGACCCTTCACTCTGGTAGTTCTTCAAGACTGAGCCATACAGTGAAACAAGTTACGGTCACAGGACTCAAAGAAATAAAGTATAACATATTTGAGAATCAAATAACATAAAATGTCAGTCCCAAAGGCTCAGAGTTAACAAGTTCTGTCTATTTTTATTCCTTTATACAATGTTTTAAATGTACCAATTTTTGAAAACTATTTAGATAGCCCCAAATTTTCAGGACTCTCTGTGTATTATATATTGTGTTAATGGGCCACACTGCTGACATGAATTAGTAGACTGACATAGATCTATCGGACTTTAGTAGTTTTACAATGAGTTACAAAAGCTAAGGATTTAACGCCACAGTTTCTAGACTGAAAACTGGTTTTCCCATCAACTGGTGTGGAGAAATAAAACAATTTCTATCTTCCCTGGAAATGAGACCATGGAAATGTGAAGCCGCGGACGAACGCCATGCCGAGACGGGTTCAGTGTGTGTGATAGAGCATCAATCAACGTGTGTCTTTATTGGTCCAGGGTACATATATTTATATAGACAATGATAATTATTATGCCTACTAGTCACTAGCTGATTGGCTTAAGCTCTAAAGGTCGTATTCGCACGGTCCACCTACTTGCAGTTAGCTTACAGCCCAAGCTTCTCATAACACTAAGTTTCTCATGCTACTATTTCTGATTCCTGTTGACTTGTTTTCAATACACGACAGTACCGTAACACAATGTTTCTCAGACCACCGTTATCATAACACTGGGTTTCTCAGACCACTATTCCTAATTCCCCTTAACCTGTTTTCGACACACCACGGTACACAGGGCTGAAGCGTCCTTGACATTCTTCATGTATCAGCAGCTGCGAGCAGCTGCAGGCAAACCCTAGTGAGGCTCAGCATCAGCAGCTAGAGCAGGCTCTGATCATACAATTGCTCGGTGGGCTCAGGACCCTTGTCTCTGAGCCATTCTCCAACAATTCCCCCTTTTTCTTTTTGTATGAGCAGAGCCTGCGCTAATGTTCGTTCAAAGATTTTCTTAATACATGACAAGGCACAACTTAGGCATGCAGGCTTACAATCTACTGCCTAAAGGCACAGGACCCTTGTCTCTGAGCCATTCTCCAACAATTCCCCCTTTTTCTTTTTGTAGGAGCAGAACCTGCCCTAACGTTCGTTCAAAGATTTTCTTAATACATGAGAAGGCACAACTTAAGCATGGAAGCTTACAATGTGTTGGCTAAAGGCACTTATCACGCACCCGGAAGTGCTGTGATAGGTCTGCATCGTTAGCACGCGTGAACAAACTAAATCTACTTTGTGGTTAGTGTATCCAGGCATTCAAACAGGAAGGAAGCACTAGCTTGACTTCCTCCTTCTTGCCCTTCCAGGTGACCCCAAGGGCAGGATTACCACATGGCAGTTTTCTGCTCAGAGACCCAGCCTGGATTGTCCAAACCCTGTAGGATCAGTGCATAACCCTGATCCCCCCGCAAAAAAAATTCCTACCAGGTGTTCCCCCTTTTTCGTTTTTGGACAATCCAGACTCCTTTTAACGTTTGAATCATAGCATTCACAAAGCATTTCCACACAGACCCCAATACCATCATGACAATCATAATGACAATCAGCATTGCCAGTCTATGCATCAACAAAGTTTTCAGCCACCCAGTAATTTCCAAGTTTTGTAGATTTGCAACCATCATCAGTCCATTTTCCAAATTCCCAAGTCTCGTAACCAGTCTGTGAGTCCATGTTCCAATCTTATGCAGTCTTATGTAGCAAGAAAACCATCCTTACAGTTTTAAAGGTGTCAGCAATTGTAACAACAGAATATGCAATACAGAATGTTGTACAGGTTTCACCATGCTATGTTCTAAACATTGCAATGAACCCACAACATACAATGAATCTGATACTACATGAACAAGTTTTTGATACAGTGTTGATGTTGAAACACCATACAATGAACCTGATACTACATGAACAAGTTTTTGATACCAGTGTTGATGTTGAACAACATACAATGACAGTTCAGAGTTTTAAAGTTCGTAAGGAGTGTCCAAACGCCCTGAGGAGAATCTTGTGATCTTGAGTTCCCAGGTGTCCCCCATTCGTTGTCAGTACTGTGCAGGCCAATGTTCCAGCAGCATGCCTGTCCACTTTTAACAAGGCATCATGAATCACCGCACTCCATCGGGACTGAGCTAAAAGTGGAGCAGGTTCTGGTAAGGGTGACGGGAGTGGGTGTGGTGGGGGCTGCCGGCAGCGCTTCCTTTTCTTGTAATTGTAAATGCAGAGTTCTGTTCTGTAGCTTAACTTCTGTAATTTTCTTTCAAGTTCTCGGACTTTGTCACTGTCCCTTACCGATGTGTGACCCTGGTGTTCTAATTCAGACAGAGCCACCGCTTTTCTCTCCGAGCCAGACGCTGACGCGCTGTCAGGGGCGGAACAATCCGCAGGGCGGGGGGGCAGGCAGAGTTTATGGTGGCACGCCGCTCCACCCGGTACCCCCGCGCCGCCTGATTTCTCTGCCGCTTCTTGCACTGTGGAGCAAACAGGAATACTTGGTGACATGCCCTTAATAGAGCGGAGCTGTTGATTACACCCAAAGAAGGTGGTTAATCGTGACGGACGAGTGGTTTCGGCAGGGACCGGTGGAGATGGTACAGCGCCAACAGCCGCCATAGCAGCAGCAGCTACTTTCTTTTCTGCTTGCATCTCCCTCAGGGCTTTTACGATCGTTCACCAGATCACCCCTTGCTGTCGTGCTTCACTGCCTTTATTGCCTCCAGTGATAGTCTCGTCCCACAATAAATCATCTACTTCGCACCACTCCTGTTGGCTACATATTAGCGAGGGGCCATCGTCCCTCTGCCCCTCTGCCTCCGAGGTAGGGGGGGGTGGGTGGGGGAATGACTGTAAAGATACTGGGGGGGGGCTGGCCTCCGGACTTTCCCTATTCACATTAACTGTAACTGGCCCTCCTGTTGATGGTACAGGAATACGATCACTGTCAAAAAGCATAGATCCGGATGCCTCACTATCTGGGGTAACAGTGGAACTTTCCCCCCCCAACTTTGCAGTTGCCACAGCTGCAAGATTCTTTTCAAGCTGATACCGCCCACTATTATTCACCACCTCCTGCCATGGTTTCATCATTTTCCTTGCAGCTTTATCCTCGTCAATTACCATATCCCATAAAATATCACCTAATCGTCTCCACTCATCGACATCAAAAGGAGAATTAGGGTCCTGAAAACATCCTTTGACCCGTCCTAATGCTACTAAACCTGCGAGAGATTTTATACAATCCACTCCCCGCTTTTCTAAAAAACGCTGTAATAAATCCAGGGCTACCTCCTGTTCCATCTCGTCAACCTGGTGCTCCTTGTTTAAGGCACCTCCAGTCCTGTGCTCCCTGGATAAGGCACAGTACCGTTACTGCCGACCCACCCCTGATTAAGGCACCGTCGGCCCTTTGCTCCCTGCTTAAGGCACTAAAAATACTCCCGCCGGCTTGTGCTCCCTGTTTAAGGCACTAAAAATACTCCTGCCGGCTTGTGCTCCCTGTTTAAGGTACTAAAAATACTCCCACCGGCCTGTGCTCCCTGTTTAAGGCACTAAAAAATACTCCCGCCGGCCTGTGCTCCCTGTTTAAGGCACTAAAAATACTCCCGCCGGCCTGTGCTCCCTGTTTAAGGCACTAAAAAATACTCCCCCTTTGATATGTTGCTGATGCTCCATGACTAAGGCACCAGTTGCAGCTCTTACCAGCAGCCCTTGCAGAGAGTGACCCTCTATCTCGGTTCAGGTCCTCGGAACGACCTGTCGGAGGCCCACTGTCTGATCGTCCTTGATTCGGCTAGACGCTGCTGTCTCTGATGTTTCCCCGTGTTTGTTTCTGCCGCCGCTGTATGCAGCGCCTTTCCACGTCAGCTTCCATCGCCCCTCTGCGTCAGTTCCGGCGCCCCCCCCGCTTCCACTTCCGGGGCCACCCTGCGCTTGCCTCCAGCGCCCCCTCGCGTCCGCCCCCGGGGCCGCTCAGTGTCCACCTGTGGCGTCCCTTCGCGTCCACCCCCGGGGCTGCCGCAGTCAGCTCCTTACCACGTCAGCTCCGGTGTCTTTCTGCTTCCATTCGTGGGGCCACTCACTTCTGGTCTCGGGGCCGCTCCGCCTCCACTCTCGGGGGCCGGTCCAGCCGGCTTCTCTCCGTGTACTCCCCCGGGGCTGCTGGGGCCGGCACCTCTCCGTCTCAGCTCGTGGACCCTGAACGCTGCTGTATTTGGTGTTTCTCCGGGTCCGTTCTCAAATTCCTCGGTCGTTGTTGCTTCTTTTTTTTTTTTTTTTTTCTGGGTCCGCTGCTCCATCTTTGTTACTCTTCTATGCAGGTCCCTGTTCAGGCGCCATCTTGCGGAGCTGTGGACGAACGACATGCCGAGATGGGTTCAGTGTGTGTGATAGAGCATCAATCAACGTGTGTCTTTATTGGTCCAGGGTACATATATTTATATAGACAATGATAATTATTATGCCTACTAGTCACTAGCTGATTGGCTTAAGCTCTAAAGGTCGTATTCGCACGGTCCACCTACTTGCAGTTAGCTTACAGCCCAAGCTTCTCATAACACTAAGTTTCTCATGCTACTATTTCTGATTCCTGTTGACTTGTTTTCAATACACGACAGTACCGTAACACAATGTTTCTCAGACCACCGTTATAACACTGGGTTTCTCAGACCACTATTCCTAATTCCCCTTAACCTGTTTTCGACACACCACGGTACACAGGGCTGAAGCGTCCTTGACATTCTTCATGTATCAGCAGCTGCGAGCAGCTGCAGGCAAACCCTAGTGAGGCTCAGCATCAGCAGCTAGAGCAGGCTCTGATCATACAATTGCTCGGTGGGCTCAGGACCCTTGTCTCTGAGCCATTCTCCAACAATGGAAATGATACACACATACCTGCATATTTATTGCAAGAATATGTTCAGTTCTCACACTGGTGATTTCTATCCAAGTGCAGAATCATCACCATTATCATGAAATAAAATCTCTCCAGCACATATGGCAGTTGCCAGCTAGGTAGAGGAGAAAGAGAGCTCTGCATTTCACAGCAATTTTAATTGTCATGGTTTAGTGAACTAGGATATCCCACTGCAACAGTACTTTTCATACTTTGTTTCAGAAAGAAAACCAAAAAAAAGGGGAGAATATAATTCTCCAGAATAACCAACTGCAAGTATGCATATGCAATTACTAGCCTGCTGTTGCAACATCCTGGGTAGCTTCCACAATACCCACAGCATGCCTGGCACTTATCAGTCCCCATCATAATTAAAATGCCGTTCTTTCTATCCTACTCTCTCCACCCACATTACCCTCATTATTGTAAGAAAACTAGGCAAAGAAGCTAAGGGATAGTTCAGAAACCTTGGACCAAGATCCTGAGAATGGGGAATGAAAAACAGCTCACCTGAAGCAAATAGCTTTGAACATTCCACATTAACCTCTAGTCTTATTCAGTGACACATCAGCAACAGTGACCAAATAACATGATATCAGGAATATTATAGTTACTTCAGCAGTCTTAGGAAGCGCATACCTATTGAAAATAAAAAATAAGGTTGCGAATAACTTCTAATAATTTTATCATTCTCTTTCTGAGGAATTCACTTGACTTTGGTTGTGCGTGCAGCAGCCTGTTTGTACTCATTGTTATGAGAACTTTAGCACTCACCAGTGCTACCTTGGCTGGGCATTGAAAAATGACACTGTCATGAAGCAAAAGAACAGAGTACAGGCTAAAAGAAGGCTCGTCCTATTGTAAAAGGACAAAAGAGCAAAAATTTACCAAATGAGAAAAAAAAAAAAAAATATATATATATATATATATACATATCTATTTCTCATACAATCTGCAGCTCAGAATCTTTTATTCTGTAACCAGGATCACACTATATAATCAAATTATTAGCTGTTAGAACAATGGTAGAAACAGATGATTAACCTTGAAATAGTCTGTTATTATGTATATCTGAAAAAAAGTAGAAGCCTAGGCAGGATTAATGGGAAATAGAGTCAATGAAGACAATGAACTGCCACGAACTGCTTATGTCTGACAAATTAGAAGGAAACTAGGTAGAAGGTAATTCCAATAGGGGGAGGCCGAGACCACCAACTCTAATTACACCCCAGACTCAAAGAAGAAGGCGGAGAGGGCAAACTAGTCATGCGTGCTGATTTGCATGCTAAAAGTAGAAATTATGACCAATCTACCAAAGTACATATGTATCCGTGTATTGAATATGCATAAATTGTGTGTAGAGATAACTGTAGGTTTCAGGACTATGGTGTGCTGTCTTGGGTCAGGCACCCATGCATGCATATCCATGTTAGAAATACAAATATATCGATTCTGTGTGTTAGTTGACTCTTTTCATAACTGGTGAAGAACCCCCTTTTTTGGGCCAACAATAACAGTGTACTGTAGATGAAACTTTCAAAGTACTTTTCATGTGTGGAGGGAATCTTGCAAAACACTTAATGAATATCACCATATGCATGCAGTATTGGAACAGAGCAATGCTTGGTAGGGTGTCTGGCTGGAATGCAGAGTATGTATTTTGAAACATCAGTGAGCTGTGAGGTGATATAATGCTAAGAATATGTAATGTAATCACCATGTAACAATGTCATGGGTAGTCAACTGCACATCCAACAACTGCCTTGGATCACTTACTGGTACACAGCAATACATTTCAAGCATAGATAATGCTTTAAGACTGCCAGATCAGAAGACAAACTACAAACAAAACTGATCACAATAATATGAGAAGGCTACTAAAGGAAAAAATATCTCCATAGGCAGCAAACAAGGTATCACTTCCACATTTTAACAAAAAAAATCTGTGAGATGAGTGTGTGCCTGAATGACACTGGTATCTAATAAAGAGCATTGCCTCACACAGGCTCTTTCTATGGCAAAGACTTCTGGGCATGCTCACATAGAGGAAATCATTTACATACAGAGAAATCTGAGCTGACCACAAACAAGCCAAGCGGAGGCTGGGGAGCAGTGCTAGCATACTGTCTTCTCAAGACAGTCAGCAGTATGGCACCAATGTGGCACCTGAGCTGCATTAAGCACTTGGGCTAAATTACTCAGAAAACACTGGAGTCTTCAATAAAAGCACTTTCTTGGACCCAGATTCACCTTTAATAGAGGCTTGTGAACTCTGTTGCTTAGCTTCTTACAAATTCAAGAGAAAAAGAAATCAGGTAGAAAGATGAAAAGTACTTAGACACATAAGAAAGCCTAAACTACCTATGTATGTTTTGATAGTTTTACAAAATGTAGATTAGTTTGAGATTTCAATGCACCTAGACTTATTCATCTTTGCTTCAGCTGCTGTTCCTATAAGCATCAGAAAATATCATCTTACAAAAAGTAGTTGCCAAGCTAAGGAAAGAACTTTTCTGTTCATTCAGTTATAGTAAGCTGCTAGTAATAATTTAGATAAAAAAGCCATTAATACCTGTGTTTACACCGACAAGATGAGATGACATCACATCAGGTTTATTTTAAATCTCCCTGTTAAATGTCAACCAGTATATTACAGGGCAGAAACACAGTATTCTCAGAACAATCATTACCTGTCATGTACCTGATAATATTGAAATACTACTTGCCTAACTACCTTTAAGATCCAGTTATTGTTTGGTATATTTTGTTGTCTTATGGACAAAGTATTTAAGCTACAGAACAAATATGTGCCTCAGCTATCAGGAAATTGGAGGCACCCTGATATATGTCTTGTGCATTTATATTTGGAAATGCTAATAGTGATAAGTACTAAAAACTTAAAGGAAACCCATGCACTTACTAGAACTAGATAAGAGTTTTTACAGTAAACTATACATTTTGGAAAAATATTACTTGCCAAACTGCATTTTTACATAAACTCCAGTATTGTTTCTAATTTTCAGGTAAGTTGTCATTCAGAGTTTTCTCCTTTCAGTCCTGACATTACACATTAGGCAAAAAATCCTGATTAGTTTATTGAGCAGAAGGTGGATGGGAAAATGTCATCAGTAGTTAAAGCCAGGAAATCAGAATTATTGTCATAGTGTAACAACCTACATTCACAGTAGATTCACTTAATATATTTTATTTATCAGACTAAGTGTCTGCAAGCAATCATTTCTCATGTACCTGATGATTCAGCAGTAGCTCATTACGTCATTGTAACTTGATCTCTGGTTTGATCTCCTCTAAGACTTCAGAGTAGGCAGGTATAGTGTTGTTAGTGAAAGTATTTTCTTTTGAAATTAAGTTTACCATCTCCAAATACATCAGTCCATCAAAATTTCCTGCAAAAATACATGGAGTATATCATGGAACAAAACAGATACAGCAGGTGGAGAAAAAAAACCCAACAGAAGTGACTGGCCATTTCCAGTAGCAATCCCATTTGTTAATTCATTCAGAACTGGCAGACCAAATTGTCAATGGCCAAATGGAAGGAACAGCTGCCAACAGGCTGACTTGTACAGACAGTGAGTAATATTTTTCTAGTCCTCCCAGAGGGGACTATTAGGGCTCTTAGGAGGTTTAACTGGTTGTAAAATTTTCATCTTATTAAATGTAAAGACAAATACCGCTTCATACACTAGTATATCTCAAACTCTGGGACCCTGAACTTCCTAGGAAGTGAAAGGTATCATATACAGTCAGGGAGCAGCTCCTCACTTCTCTTTATTAGGAGTTTGCTTTCTATCATGATTGACTGTAAGTTTCTGCGCTAGCTACCTACCTTTACTTGCCAGGGGCAGAGCAATTCTCCAGCAGAGGAGTGAGACTGTGATCACATGCAGCCACTGAATGGTAGCTGATCTCACATTTTTTCAGTCAATGCTGGAAATGATAGATAAGCTAAAAGCAGATGAACTTGCAAAACATCTAAAGAACGCTGTTTCTGTGTTGGATGTGGCAAAAACAAGATCTCAAAGAAGGAAAGAGTTTAGCCAAAGCTTATGTGGAAGATGAACCATACATTGTGATGTAAAAACCAGCTAGAGATAATGGTGTGATCAGGTGACAGATACATCATCTCACAGTTCCCTGAAACCCCACAGTGAGTTATAGTGCTCATGACTTGGACAAAAGGATGTTTCAAGTTGTGCATCCAGACTGAAGCATGTAAGATCTTTAGACATTTTGAAAACCTAGTTGCACAGTCTTACCATTCCATTGTTTGAGGCAGCTGTGTGCTTCGTGAGAGTGTGCTTTCATGGTAATAAATCAATTTATTTCTATTAAAAGTCTCAATACGTTAATTTCTAGAAATCTTAAAAGTAAGAATCAAAGCATTGTAACTTGACTAACTCAAATGGCTTATAGAGGCTATTTTAGTGGCTAAATGCTTTTAAGGCAACTTACCAATGAAAGCCCTCTAGAATGTTGTGCTATGGGCTTTTGAATGAGCCAGTTGTCTTTGTGTGCTTTCACATATTGCTTACCAATCTGGGGGACATGGGAGCTGGGGTCAGGGAGGGGGTAGGGGGGAGAAACAACATGTGATATTGTACATTGGTTATCTTACCTAGTAGTACTTTAGCTGTTTTGAATATTCTAAATTAACAAACTGAGGGAGCACACTGTACTTTCAGCTAGGGGACAAGCTGAATTAAGAACCTGCCATGAAAGAAGAGTTAAGACCAGTATTCTCCCACATTTCTAACATTATTAATTCTAGTGAATTTTTTGGGCTACTGCTGAGAAGAGAGTCCATCTTAGACCACTGTTTTAGAGAAAGCTTTCAAGAAAAAAATTAAATAGATTGTGAAATCTTCACAACAGAAGGAGATAAGAAGGCTTAGGGAGAGACAAATGAAGAAATGATCTGAACTAAGGTCATATAGCAGATCAATGACAGGCAAAAGTAGAATCAAGATCCTTCAACCCATGGTCATGTGTTTTCTACTGGACTACTACTTTGTAGCACTTCTCTATATTTTTAATCACCTCTATCTTTTTAATCTACTTTCTGTGTTCTTCATCCTTCCAATTGAGACAATTTGTCCTGCACCTAAAAACTTTTAGCAATATCACACTAATTTTCTTCTGTTGCAAAATCATAAAAGACAAAAATTAATTTTTAAAATTGAATAAAAGAAAATAGGAAAAAATGTACTCAGTTTCCAACAGCTAAGCTGTAAACAAAGAATGTCCCCAGGATGATATTTACAGCATTGTATTGTGACAAGACTTTAACCTCTTCACAGACCCTTTTTTTTTTCAACAAATCCTCTTTCCAAGCACACTTGCCAGTTTTGAACCAGGTCAAACCTCTGAAGTTTCTTTCAGGTTTGTACATGTGCATTTGTTCTTACCAGCTCCACCAGATTTGACTATTTGTCCTGAGATTTTCTTTCTGAATTAACACTATACCTAAAACACCACCAGCAGCAGAGAAAAGAAACACTTAATTGCATCATTTTTCATTTAGATCATGTCTATCAGACATCATACCAATCTTTTCAGCCTGGATTCAGCAGCCAGTTTCTGAGGCTGTTGAGATTCTTCTCCAGCCATCTGATGCTCCTAGTGATTGTATCCACTTCAATCCCATTGGTTTCCAGCCATGATCCATGGTTCAGAGTCTTACAGACAAACTTCATCTGAGAAATGAAATATTGATCAATACCTGATCTGGGTCTGATTTAGTCAAATACTTCTAGCATAAGACTAGTTTCTATCAAATATATTAGACAAAGTAAATAATATGTTTAAAATATATAACCATATTAGTGAGTTGGGAACTTTCCTTATCCTGACCTCTAAGGCACTGTACATGAGAAGAGGTTTGCATCTTCATAATCATCAATGACTTGTGAAAATTCACAAGATCATAAGAGTGAGGTCAGTTTGTTTTAGTGTAAAGCAGTGCTCCAGTCCATTACGGGTCTAGTTTATAATAAATCCTGCTCATGTCTTTTGATTACATTTTTCTTGAGATAGTCTGTATCGAGGAACAGAGGAAGTCATCCTATCATACAAGAGGGCACCCACTGAATGTTGTGATTAAAATAAACTTGTTTGGGGCACTTTTCTCAATAAGAAATTCACTTTGGTTTTAATAAGAATTTAATAGTGTAAGAATTGCATTTGGTATAAAATCCTCTGGCCCAGTACATGAACTCTAATGGTAGCCCATTGCCAGTGGTTAATGAATAAGTATAAGAAACAGAGGAGCAATAGATATAGACATGTACATAGAGACATGAAGAAATGTACCTTTTCAGCTTCCAGAAAACTTGTGTGACACAGTAATTTTCAAAGCAGATGCATGTCTGGTTTGTGAACTGTATATGTTTTCCAGAGCAAAGCCAGAACACAAACACAGTCAGCAGAAGAGTAAATCTCCTTCTGTATAAATTGAAAAAGGTTACACATACTATGGTAAGAAACAATGTCTACATTTGGAGGACACTAGCTTATATCATACTATGCAAAGACCTGACTAACAGAGGAACTGTATTAAACTGTTACCAAATTATCAGATAAGTGTCCAAATTTTGCCTTACCTTATTTCCTTTTATCATTGAGTCATGCCCCAATATTGAAAGATAAAAATTTAACAAGTAACTGTATTATTCTATCCTTTTGGTTTGATATCAGTATGTCTAAACATCTTTTAGTTCATCCCCAAAGAAAAGGCAAGCTATATTCTCAGAAAAATTATTTCTAACAGAGAAAAAAGCTAATTCAAATATGTGATAACAAATATGAACATTTTTCAGCAATAATGTACAATATTGGAACTGTATCAGCACAGGTTTCTCATCATTTAATATATTATTTTCCTTTTAGTTAAGGCAACATCATTCCAACTAAAAGCACGTCTTTACCCTGACAGCCAGTAAGAGTGACTTCTTAAACAGAATTTTTGTAAACCTAATTTAAATATAAAATATAAACCTTATTTCTTAGAAGAATCACTCTATGTTATCTTAATGTCATAGCATTATGAAAATTATATTGAAACTGTTGTCCTTTATGTAATTTACAGTTCACCTTCCACAAGGTGGTATGAACTGAATGCTGAAAACAATTGTTAAATGTACCAATGTAGTTGCAGCAGATAATCACCCATATTCTTCTTTATTTCTCTTTGCCTCTGTGGTAAAGACAGTTCCTTACTCCTGACTGTGGGATTGTTTTTGGAGCACAGTGGCCACATCAGACAAGAGCAAGACTTTGGCTACATCACAAAAGGGAGGTGACAAGAGGAGGAAGAACTGAGAGAGCTGTACAGCTGGTATATGATGAGAACATCTTGACTTTCATTGGCAAGAAGCCTGGGAAGTAGCAAACAGCAATGTAGAAAAACAAGATAAGGATGCTGAGATCTGCCTGAGGCTACGGTTGATGGGAAACATCTGGTTGTTTCTTAAAAAGTGGAAAGTTTTCTACCTTAAGCTAAAAGTGTATGGAACATTGTGTTTGTGGTTGTAAGATTTAATCAACCAATAGGCATTAGGATAGCAGTAACTAACTTGTAGCCAATGAATTGTCTGGTGTATTATGGACAAGGGTAATAACCAATCAAATGTTAGTCTTAGGCATGTGAATGGTGTGTGAGGTATGCATGTAACCAATTGTTTTGCCAATTGACGGGGTTAACACAAAGGACACAGACACCAAGCTAAAGAAATAGGCTTATTTTACTTCAGTTTAAAGCAGCAGAAAGAATAAGCAAGGTAATGCACCTAGACATTACTATTTAAAGCAGCAGAAAGCATAAGCAAGGTAATGCACCTAGTCATTACTACATAAAGCTAGCTATAGTGATTAAGAAAGATACATCACCAGTTGCCCTCAGACTTTACCATCATCCAGATCCGTGCATCAGCTGGGGAGCCCCGTCACAGCGAAAGATCGGAGAACCTTTCCCGGCAATTCGGAAGTCCTACGCAGTGCGTCCGCTTGTAGGTGAGGTCTCCGTCTGTGCTGTGAGAGGGTCTGGCTTTTATACAGTTTAACACACAAGTCTAAACAAAATGCACGGGAGATATCTGGTAGATTGACGTGCCTCACTCAGGCATGTCTGGATCTGGCCAGGATCCGGGCATGTCTGAGGAGTTTCTGGTTTTCTTTACATTTGGGATTTATAGTTACTTCCTATTGTTTACTTATAGTTCCCAGGGATTGTTCCCAGGGTTGCATTTTCATGCTGATAAGATGCTGGTTGCTTCATTCTGCTGATAAGATGCTGGTTGCTGGTCGGGGAATTCACTCAGAAGTCAACTTTGGTTTGAGGCCTATTGTTTGGGCCTTTTCTGTTTCAATCGGTCCTTTGACTTATGAGTGAAGATCACAACCCTTTTGGAAGAGCCCAATATGTTCGCTCTATCCGTTCGATACGATACCATACATAACAATTACATAAAGTAATAATAATAATGATAACTAACAATATTACAAGAGGATGTAATAAGAAATTCAACACTTGGGTTGCAGAGCATGAATATCCAGTAAAGATGTCCCACCAGTGGTGTGCATTCTCCTTCTCCATCTGGCTAGCTAGCGACATTAGTTGATTCTTTGTGATTACAGTCTGTATCACAGAGTCTGACAGAGTTTTATTTCGTCGTTCTAGGTGTCGTCGCAATTGTTCCATGATGGTTTTCAGTGGAGTCAGGGATAAGCTGATTCCATTAAGTCCTAAGCTTTGGGGATGCCAGTACATGTTTAGTTGTTCTTCATGCATTGAATAAAAAGTATACATCTGTCCGTGCCAGATGTGATAGAATACATTTCTGAGGCATCCCGAAAGTGGAGTACTTAGATTATACATTTCTAGAATATTTTTATCATTTGTCACTATACAAACATGCTTAGCACTAATTTCTACAAACATATCAAAGCTTTTGGGCAAGATTGTCCATTTACACAGATTCACTGAATGTTCCAATAAACATGGTTCATATAACCACGAGCTTTGTCCACACAATAAACCATTTGCTGTGGACGTACACAAATCTAATTTATGGGTTCGATTCCTAGAGTCTATATAATCTCCCTCCAAGTGGGGCAGCCAATATTCTGGTTCATAGGGTGGTTTTTCCCCAAAAATTACAGGCAGTACTAGAAATTTACACATAACTTCAGGTTGGCTAACATCGTAGTGGACTATTTGACCAGCACAGAATACATCTGTGCACTGCACTGTCTGTGGAGATAATTTGACCCAATGGGTTTGAGGAATCCATTTCTTAAATATGTTTCTCCATAACAGCTCATTATTAGCCGTTAAGTCACTCTGAGCTTTGTTTCGTTGCATAAGGACATGTAAAGTCTGCAGTGTACATGTTGTCCAATTCATAATCTGGCTAATGTTGTGGTCAACATGCCACTGATTAATTTGAGTCCTATTGAAGAGCTTTAAAAATTCTGTATCATAGTTCAGTGACCCAGTTTGTGGGGTAAAGGTAGTTGGAAGCCACTGAGCCTGCAACCTAATTCCTTCTGCCACATCATAACCAGCATTCTTTACTTTGTTTGTTAAGGTTTCAATATCAATAGAATTTAAAACTCCCATTCCTGCTCCAGTTCCTCCTAACAGGGTGGCACACCATGCCCTTTTCCATCTACATGATAGTAGGAGGGGGAAAGAAATATTGAAATGAATAACATGTTTCTGATATTGTTGAGCTACTTGAACACAAGTAGATGGAATGCGGTAGAAATGATCAACAGAAATATGAGGTTTAGATTTTAACATAGTAAAGAAGTCTCCCCAGTGTAACCGATTTTTCATTACTGAATTATTATGGCATATTAGTGTTTCTGTTTCTTCCATGGGAAGGGTTATTGCATGAGCAGCATTCACCTCATGACCACCTGTTCGATTAACACATTTGTAATAATCTTTCGAACTGGGTAGACCTGATACATTACAACATTTAAGAGATACTTTACTAGATATAGTGACAGTTGAATTATCTGTAGGACAGGTTACAAAAAGACGTCCACGATCTCTCCATCGTGATGCTGGTCCTGAACGCCACCAGTATGTACATGTTTCGTTATACTGAGTACTGAAAGTAAGATTGGCTATGATACAGGCAGAATTTGCTTTGCATCGGAAATCATCCTGTTGTCTTGTCTTGGTTGCAATTTTCCATTGCCACCTAAGCGGTGTCTCTCAGTGGCCATCCCGGTGTGAAAGCCTTTCCCAAATGGACCATGACGATACACAGGCAAATCCATCTTAGCAGGATCTAAAGTATAGAATCTTGAGACATCTAGTTGTTCTCGCAGATAACATTTAGTTGCAGGAACATATTCCCATTTTTCCTGTCCAGGTTTCATGATTAAAACAGTATTGTCTTTTCCTGTGGCTATTACTTCAGCTGGTTCAGGAGGTCCGCTTGAACTCTGGACCCATACTTTAGCTCCGTTATTGAAATTAGTTGATCCAAACCCTTTATCTCCACGAACAGTGGTGACTTGAGGTGGATCCCCTTTTTTCACAATTGCTTTCAAAACTGGCAATATCAATAGTTGTGCGAGTTTTGAGTAATATTTCCCGATGCCCACAATGCCACTGAATTCCTAAAAAATTTACCGTTTGGGATGGTTCTTGAATCTTGTTAGGATTAATTTCCCAACCTTTCTGTCTCATATGATCTACCACCTGTTCAAGTATTTGTTGCACTTCCTTCTCATTGTTTCCCTGAATTAGGTTATCATCAATATAATGCACTATTTGCATATGAGGAGGCAATTTTATCTTTTCCAGATGCTCAGCCACTGTCCAATGGCAAATGGTTGGACTGTGCAGCCATCCTTGAGGCAATGTGGTAAAGGTATACTGTCGTCCCTGCCTGGTGAAGGCAAATTGGTCCCAATGCTCCTCTGCAATTGCGATAGTGAAAAAGGTGTTAGCTAAATCTATTACAGCATACCAAGTCCCTGAATGCTTTTGAACCTTTTCTATTAAAGTAATAGTATCTGGTACAGCTGCTGTAAGTGGTGGGGTGTGTTTATTTAATTCCCTAAAATCTACTGTCATTCTCCATGACCCATCACTTTTCTTGACAGGCCATACCGGATTGTTCCAAGCTGTGATAACTGGTTTCAATACTCCTGCATGTAATAAATCTTTAATTGTCTGTGATATCTCCTCATGCCCTCCTGGAATTCTATATTGTTTCATAGTCACTAATTTAGTAGCAGCAGGAATCTGTACAGGAGGCATTTTCACTTTTCCTACTAAAATTGTTCTAATACTGATAGGATTTTTCACCCCAAACTGGTACTGACCGTCTGGGAGATTCAAAGTTAGTCCCTTCAAAATGTCTATTCCTATTATGTATTCAGGAATGGGGACAATCATGACTGAATACAGT